AAAAAAGAGAAATGTTAAAAGACCATGTGCTACTGTGATTGATATAATTTTTTTGCAACAAGAGAGAAAGAGAGCCTGAAAAGAGAAAGAGAGAGAGAGAGAGGAAAATTGGTAATTCACTATACGTCGAAAATCTCTTAGTTTTATTAATTGATAGATTTATTAATTGATAAAGAAATTTATTAAGTTTTGCTAAAAGCGAGAGTGAGAATTTCTAGTCAAGAAGGGAGTTGTTTAACCAGCGCGGAATTGCGATTTCTAATCAAACTGTTTTTCTTTCTAAGAAAGCGAGGGTGATGCCGGGCGAATAATTTTTGGTTGAGCGAAATGAGAAGAGGTCGAATTACTTTCCACGAGGTCATGCAAGCCGCTTTCTTGAAATAGACGGGGGTGGAACTGTTTTTATTAACGTACGAGAGAGGGGACACGTAAGCGGCTTACGTCCTGCAATTAAAATATTTCTTTAAATACTCGCCGCCCCGACGTCCCTATTGTGGGCGATTGAAGCGGGTATTTAAATCGCGGCTCGTTATATGCGACCTTTGCGCGAGATGGAAGCTCACGTAAGTGGCGCGAAACGAATCGATTCGCGATACCATCGTCGATTTCTTTCTCAAATCCTAATTTACGTTCTTCCCCCAGGGGAATTTTTTCCTCTTTGAAAATGTAGCGGTTGATTCGCGCAGGATCTCTGTTTCAATGTAATTTACGGCGAAATACATTTAAATAAATTAGAAAATAAATTAAGCTGTATAAACAGAATTACGAAAGTAAAAAGATGTTACACATTTTTTAACGTTTTATTATGACGATTAGATCTCATTACATCTTTCATTTCAACATCTGAACGCCGAGTAGTTTGACTTACCACAATTTTGTTCTGTTCTTTTTTTTTTTTTTTTTTTTTTTTGGTTTTTTATATCTCCTTTTTTTCCAGGCAATTGTACGCAGCCATGAGAGCGTTTACGTGCACGATTGTGAAGAGAATCTTCTCTCGTTTCCTTACAAATTCTTCCAGTTATAGGGTTGGTTGGCTTCGCGAAACGGAGCCGATTTCGGCGAGGCGCGCGCGGACGGGATATATCCTCCGGTATCGTCGAGACGTGACGTACTTACGGGAAAAAAAATCGGCGCAACGAGAAGAATCTTCCGCTCGTACTTGCAGATTCCTCCTGGGAGACGACTCGCGAGGCTACATTCGCGAAGCCAATTTGCCGGAACATTAGACGCAGACGATGCTTTTCCGGACGTCTATTATTGACACTCTCTTGTCATGATCCATTCAGTAACGATATTACACAGAATCCGCATTGAAACTTTAATCTTTTCTTTCTTATAGGAGACAAATTTCTTTCACTTTTCCTTAGCTACACTTAAAACTAAATATCAAGAGAAATACAGAGAGAGAAAGAGAGAGAGAACAGAAAAAATTAAATATAATATTATAGTTACAAATCTGGTTGTGATGATAGATTTTTTAAACATTTGGCCAATATATGCGCTGAATTTTTTATTTTCTTTCATATTCATAATTAATGATGAAAATAATAAATGTTATTTAAGATTTTCTTATCTCATAAATATATAAATAAATATTAACAATTTTAAGAAGAGCCCGACAATTCTTTTTTTGTAATAACTGATTGTATTTTCTTACTACAACATCGCAGAAAGATTATATCTGGATATGTATTCTATCAATTGTACATTTCAGAGTAACCTTTGTGCTTACTACTTTCAAGAGCGTTGCGTAAGTACCATGTGTGGTCCAGATCCGGAATTCTGCTGACGACCGTCCGGGGACCGCAGCAGGGCTGTATCAGTTAAGGGTTTTTGCTCACTGAAGCGTCCTTACGTACCACGAAGCTCGGGAGGACTCCCCAAGGATTTTGCACAGGCCGGGATATAAGCGACGGCCAAGATTACACCGTACGTCCTGCAACGCGGCTGTTCCTTCCATAATTGAAAAAGATTTGTTTCTTACGGGGAAACGGTCGGAGCGTGGCTCTTCTGGTAATATATCGGTGGTTTTAATGCAATAACGAGCGTCACTAAAAGTGAATAAGGAGTATCGTGCGAAAGAAGCATTGATGAAATCATATCTTTTACTTTGAAAGGAATTACGTCGAGTTTGATGTACAATAACTCACAAGACTGATCAACTAATGTTATAAGAATATCTGTTGAAAATTTAGACAAAAATAACTGTAGTAAGTTCAAAGATATTTATCTTATATGATTTTGAATAGCTATTTTCGTTGATTGTCTTCTCCGAATTAATTAGATAATTGTTACTCGATCAGTTTCGTAAGTCTGTGTTGACATTTTAGTTACAATTTGAATGGATTGATTACATTTTTTTGTTATTATCATTTGATTTTTATGAGAATAGTATTGTTGAGGAAATTAGTTCTAATTATTGAGGGTGTTGTTGGGGAAATTAATTTTAATTAAGAAAAATCTGAAATGAAATAATATTACAGACAGAATAATTGTTATTTGATATTAGATTCGTGGGTTACTGCGTTGACATTTCAACTGCAATTTGAATAGATTGTTTTGCAAGGAATTCAATTTTTATGAAGAAAATATTATTTAGGAAATTGTTTCTTAATTAAAGAAAAATCTGATAGATTAATATCATAAACAGAATAATTATTATTTGATCAGTTTCTTGAGTCACTGTATATCGCATTGATGTTTCAGCTGCACACTTGAATAAACTGTTTAAATACTTTTTGAAAAGAGCTATCATCATTCAATTTTTATGGAGAGAAATTATTGGGAACTGTCCTTAATTAAAGAAAATCTAGTAAAATAATATACAAACAGCAGAATTATATCGCAAATCAAATAGGAGTTATGCAATGATATTATACATGACACAGATTATGATTATTTACTGGTGGAGCAAAAGTAATTGCGTCATGAAGCTTCCAGCGATCAAGATCTTTTATTAGAATCTTGGATTACACTCGTGGTTTATTTTCACACACGCTGTCATCTACAATATGTTCAATGATGCAACTTACGTATGTTAATCTACTAGAGTGGCGGTACTTACAGCTGCGGCCTACGACGTAAAGCGCGGGGATTTTGTTCTCTTCTCTAATTTCGACTCGTATCCAGTTCATCTCGATCAGCCTAAATCGATTACGCAACGGAGTATAATTGCACTGTTGTACATCGTTCTCGCGGTAAATGTCTATCGATTCTAAGCTACACTGGCTGCTCGATGCGCCAGGAGCGATTAGCGTCGCGGTGAAACTCTCGACGCAATAAAAATCGCGATAGATTTCTGTGAGTCGATGTAACCGATGTTTGTCTCTGATGAGACGAGAGAGATTATATTAGGGCTACATTCCTGACTTGATACTCGTAACGCTCTTAGAATTTCATCCTTGTTGTTTATCAAATGTTAAACAAGGGCAAATGATACTCGCGAGCATTATTTGTTAAATAGAATGTATTCTGGATGTATTACGTTAGGAATGCATGACTCAAATTCTGAATTAAATCAATTTCCTCATTAAAATGTCAAATTTTTCGTTAAAAATTCGTTATTTAAAAAAACTTTATGTGTTAATAATAAGTTAATAAAATTCTTTAAAAGTAATCATCAATCAATAATTAGTTTTTATTATCAGTTCTTGATAATATAAATAACAATCAGCTGTTTTCATAAATTTATGACAATCCTATATTATTGAAAATTTAAATATAGTGTCCAGTTTTATCAAAACACTTTGCAAAATGAAAGACACGAATATTCAAAAGCATATTTTCAAATTTTTTTATTAAGAAAAAGATATTAAAGGTACACATGTACAAAAGGATAGTTTTGTTGAAGTATCTAAAAATTTATTTATTGTAGATACAGATTTAGAAATAATTTTGTTGGACTGTCAAAATAATTATTTAGGACATTCAAATTCGTTGCTGCAACATTTGCAGCATTGCTCGTCACGCTTGAGATTCCTGCGTAATTATTTCGATGGTTCAACAAAATTATTTTCGGATCCGATTTTTAAATTAAATTTTTAGCAAAATTGTTATTTCCATGTACCTCATTCAAATTAATCGAATTCTTTCTAAAGATTGTGCGTTTCGCGGGTTTTCTCGAATTCTTTCCTTGTTCTCGAAGAAAATTAATACGAAGAATAAATTCTAGAATGTAAATCACGCATCTCCATTATATCGAAGTGACGGTTGTTCTCATTCAACTGCATTTTCTATACGTACGTGTTATATTGAGCTTCTCGCGAATTTTACTAGAAAATTACGACAATCGGAGTAATACGAGACTAGATTAACGAATCCGTTTGGAAATCGTCGGATTCGTAAATGTCAACGTAACTTCCTTCTTCGCTCTATCGAAGACGATAGCGTCTCCGGCGAACATTATTCTAGCATCGCTCTATATTCACAACGAGTACCTCGCAAGTTTTCCTGCCAAGCTTCTCGATTCGATCGATCTGTTCGTCTGCTTACGACGCCGTAAAAGGACGAAACGCGTAAACATCTTGCTAAAATGAATCATTGTCCTACCAGTAAAGAGATCCATTACTGGACATGACAAGAAGCTGCCACTTGACGACGCGATAAAATCGATGCCTGGTTCCTAGCCGGTATCACAAATACGTAAAACGAAATATTTGCTATAACGTTGCTAATGAACGGGTCCACATTTTGCGCGGAGATGGGTCTTACAACTATAAAACTGGGCCCGATTTCAGCAAATACCGCGAATGTGAAGCGAATTAGAAATTGAAGGGTCTGACGCAACACAGTTTCAACGCGTTTTTTTTTTTTTCTAGAAGACATCGGGAACATTAGTTTAGATTAGACTTGAATAGTATTTGTTGAAAATTCGATTTATGAATTATGCTACATTTAATTTATTAATATTAATCCGTTTAGTTTGATTAATCTAATTAATTAAATCTAATTCAATTCTTCAAGATTAATTTCCTCAAGTCCTTGAAAAGGCATTAGACCATTGTTGCGCCTTAACCCTTAAAATTCGAGGATATAGAGATCGACGAGACTGTGCTTTAAGGCAACGGACGTGTCGCAAGCTTACGGAACGGTTCGGGTTAAATGTGTCCTCCTCTTCGTACGTTCTGCTGCTCCTGCGTGTCGATTAATTCAGCCAATTCAACTCGATTAATTGGTCGGCGCGGACGGACTGTGGACTTGGCTGTAAAATATATCGCGTGGAGGACGGCAAGCCGAGCAATTAGAGCCTGCCCTTTCCGCGGTCGACTCGTTCCCTGCAATAATTATCATCCGGTAATTAGCGGGGTCTTGTCAGTTTAATATTGACGGATAATATTAGTATTAATTATACTACAATTAGGATGACGCGTTATGTGAAATCAATCTTTTGTGGACGCACGACTGTTTCTTTGAAAAAAAAAAATGGCGTATAACATTATCTCTTTCTATCACCGAAAATACACCTTTTGCTTTCACTTTTGTTTCGAAGATAATTAATTTGATTTTCTAAATTAAAATTTAAGAATTGAAGTAAAATTTATAAATGTGCAATACAGAAGTATGATTCTAATTCAATGGCAGATAGTAATCCCTATAAATTCCATAGGGTTACATTTTTTTTCTTACAGATATGTCGATAAAATTAAAGTTAAAGGGGAATGTTCGGAATTCACAAAAGGTTCATTGGTAGACCGATTATTCTCATTCGACTAATTTGCGCAAAAACGACAGAATCGGACAAGAGGGTGGATTTCTTTTCGCATGACGGGCTTAAAAAACGTGCTCTATAAAGATCGTACAGTCGCGGCAGAGAAGGAAAAGAAGGAACTGTGGGCTTTTATCGACGGTTGTACGTTAGTCAAAGTGCCTGCGTTCACTGCCAATGATCCTGTATTCGTATTCATCGTGTCGATGCGGCACCTATCTCGTTATTTTCGGCTTACGCCCGCGTTGAATAGGTCTATCGATATACTTCGAGTGATGTACATGTAAACACGATGTGCGTATGCGCATATATAAAAGTGTGTATGTGCTGTCTCGTCTGAAACGCGCGTCGTATTTGCAGACATGTTCTCTGTGCTTACATATTATATCATCGTATCGCGCTCGTCAGGTATCGTCGAGAAGAATTTCCATATAATAAAAGATACCGACGATTTTAAAGGAAAAGAATTAAATTTTGAATTAAATTTTTCAATTCAGTTATAAATAAACTATTTTTTTTTTCATTGTTGAGCTTTTTATTTATATTTTTTATTTACATTATCATACGATATTCTTACAAGCCTTGTAAGAATTACGCAAAACTGATTATCTTCCAAGAAAAAAAAAAAATATTTTTTCTAATAATATAATATTTTTGTAATACAACATTTTTAAAATTAATATTAACAAAAATTTGTCTACTTAGATTCTGACTTGATTCTACCTGCAGCCATAGCTGGCAACGGCTGCTCGCTACAATCCCAGTTAATCCGAAGGAAACACGTATCACTGTACGGTATTGTGATGCATCTCGTTGTCGGGCTTGGAATCGCGAGCGTCGCGACGCCGACGGAACTTGACGTCGGCAACGGCTACCGTAGATACGCGCAAGCGTCGACGCAAATCACGCCCCTTGGCCGGCCGAAGGGCCATCCGCACCCCATTTCCGCGTTATTACAGCCTGGAAGATCCACCCCCGCGTCTGAATATCAAGGCAACCCTCCGCGCGTTCCCACTTAACACTCCGGTCGCGACTAATTACTCTAATTAATTGGAACTCCGATCTTCTCACCGAGCCGCTTGATTCATGGTAGTTACTAATTAATTACTAATATCAATGAGGGCAGCGCTCTATATAGAACGGTGCGCGCAAGCGGTACGCTTTGAATCCACTGCGAGCTTTTCGGTTATTCATGCGAAAATAACGTGTAAACGCAGCACGAGTTGCCCGTTCGTGAAAATGCGTAAGAGACGATTTTCCGCGACATCGACTGAGGCCCGAGGCCCAACGCGGAATCCTGAATTATATCGCGGAAAAGCGCATTTCGTGCGACGTTAATTGGAAATGCCGTCTCTGGAAATTCCAGGAATTATCCCGTTGGTACATTCTGAATCTGTGACATTTTCAATTTATCATGGTAATTTATAACATGCTGATATTTCGTTATATTACAAAATTCTATATTTTTGCTGCCTCGTTTCACATATTAAAATATTTTCGAAGTTTATATATACTTGTTCAATTAATTATCTATCTATTCATCGGTATGATTTATTCTAAAGTTAATACGTTTAAATTATTCTTTAATTAGATTTATGAATAGTTAATTTAGGGAGCCTTCATCGTAAATGTTTCATCATAGACGAGGTCAGCGTCGTTCTCGGTGCTTTGATTCATTAAAAGGATTTCTCTCAAACTCCAAAAGCTAATTGCACGACCAAATCTCTTGCTCACCCTTCAGAACATTGATGTCGATCAGATGTCGATAGGCACTGCCGTGCCAGGTCTCGGGACTTCTCGCCGATGGCAATTCCGTTTTCACGTCGCGCAAAGCCGCGGCTTTCTCGGCGATCTTCTCAGCTTCCCGTTCCTGGCGATCAAATTTTGATAATTAACTTTTTATTAATGGGACGTATCCCTCATTTGCTACAACACGACATAACTTGAAATTGTCATTTCGCATAGTTGGCAGAAAAAGAACGGAAACAAAAAAAAAAAAGAATATTCTAAAAACTTATACTTTCATCCTCGTTTACAATCAGTTATTACATTTGAAATTTATTATTGCAAAATTTTAATGATTCAAAACATTTAAATTTATTTTATTTGTTTTTGAGTTGTGTTGTTGTCGCAGCAAATAAGTTGTAGTAATAAGTTGTAAATATTAAAAAATATACGCTTGTATCCTTATAAAAAGTTCAAAATAAGTGGTAGTCGTATTTTATAAATAGAAAATCAAAAGGTCCTACATTCAATTATCCCTCGTATATTTCTTTATCGCTCAGCGATAAAGAGAGAAGAAGAAGAAATATACCTTAACACAATTTTTATTAAACATAATAACGAGTAATACAGTAATTATAGTAACGTAGTAATTTGCAAGTTTATTTTTCTGCTGTTCTATTTACTTTAACGAGAACTCTAATGTCCGTAATAACGTCATAATTGTGACGTTTCGCGTGAACCTTCATCAGCCAACGAGCATGTAATTTTCATTTGACATTAAGGAACTCGACGTTGACGTTCGGTTAGTCATGAGCGAGTCGGCAATAATAATATCGTCGGGGAAGTACTCGTCTGAAAACAGAAATCGTCATTTTCATGGAGACAGATGTGGGTAGTCGGACGTATACCGTATATGGGGAGGGAGATGAAAACGGGTCGGCAAACAACCGCGATATGTCGCGACTTCTTGACGTAATGACAGCCATGGAAATGGATGACGATCCACTCATCCTGATCAATCCACTCAGGTATGCAACGATGGCTTGCGTGGATGACAAGGACGGGGCGCGCGGATCCCTCGCGTCCTCGGCTTCCACGGCGATCTACAATCTAAACGCGCGGCTCGCCCAAAGCGGGACACACGGTGCTTTATTTAATGCTTCCGTCGATAGCGATCGTCGAATTACTTAAATTAATTCCGCCGTCGCGCTCGTCGTCGTTGCGGATCGATCGAGGTGAATTATTCACTCGGCTCGGCCAGGGACGAAACGAGCAGTTACTCCACCGCTGTGCCGCGCGTCCGCCTACCTCGACGATTAAAAAGTCACGGAAACGCGCGTTTACCGTAATGTCCGTGGAAGGGAGTTTACCAGCCCCGCGGGAGCCTCTTGGAAACGACCTCACCCCTTATACGCGCGATATTTGCGTCACGGTGAATGCTTCGGGATTTTCTACGGTAGCTGTTCAAATTCCAAGATTTCTCTTTCGAAAATTTATCTCGTGCGAAAACGCCGTGTTAAGAAATTATTAGGGAAGATTATTTCGCAAAATTATTGTTCCACATGGCAGTGCTATCGATACACGATTCCATTTTCCTACGAGCGCTTTGTAACACTGTTATGCTTCTGCTTTTTATATGTACACACTTGAGATAAAGTTAAATTATTATATGTCTTAATTTTTTTAATTTTAATTTAATATATATCGTACTTTATTGTATAATTAAAAATGCGTAGATTATATTCTTAATATCACTTTCTTTCTGAGATATTTAAAAATATATCAGGTACAGTCTCTGCAAGAAATCATTGGAAATTTATATTTTCCGTATAAAAATGAATGTTTTATACGTGAAACAGTTCAATAAGGTCAATATTTATATTTACAGTTTTATAACTTATGTGAACAATTTCTCATTTTATTTTTTAAATACATGTCCACTTCTTATTGAAACAATTTTGGATCCAGATTCTAAATTGCTGCTAAACTTTTATATTACTTTCAAAATAATATGAAAAAGTCTGTAATTTTTCATAATTGTTCATTTTGTCGTTGTAAAAAATATATGTAATACATCTTTAATTATTATAAATATTACCAATATCAGAATTTTTATGAATTCTTATATGTTTAATGTATTAATCTCTGTTACTAGTAACTATCACAACTGCAAAAAGCATACTTGTAAAATTCTCTTTGCAGATGCCACGCTCATTAGCGTGACATTAATACGAAGTTTTACGGTTTCATTTCAGCGTCGAAACAAGTTGTTCGCTGTGGGCAATCTATTGGAGGGATGTTATTTAAAAATCGGCATATGCCGTGGCTTATCGATTTCGTGCGTATCAAATGGTGTTCATAGCGAAAAAAAGGAACGAAAATTGCGAGCAGTAGTAACGGCGGAGCCTCATAATAGCAAGGAGCGTCACGCGAGAATGCATTTTTAACGACGCCCGTGCTTTCTGTACAACTCGCTCGAGTTCTCGTTAGCTTAAACGCGTTACGAAATAGAAGCAACTATGTCGCACGAGGCTCAAGCGTGAACTTCATATAAGTTATGCGGCTTACATGAGTTATTTCTGGGAAAATAGAGCGGCTTGTAATCACTTTACGTCGTTCTTGAGCGCGGAGTGTAGTAGAAGTTAATTGCATAAGCGAATAATTTCAATGAGACATTCTTAAAGACAAAGTTAATTAAATGAATACGATGGCCGTAAATATTCAAAAGAAGATATGAGATTTCAAACCCGATTTATGAGTATTTCAAGTAAAAAATACACAAAATATTCTAATTCAAAATTAAGTAATCAAACCGTTAAATAATCCGAAAGAATAAAATCAAGTAACAACTTGCGCGCGTAGATGGTTTAATTATTTTAATTATCGTTAATTAAGGAAACGAAATGACAAAAGTTGCGGGATCGAACGCAAAATAATTATTAACGTCGCGTGGTCGAAGTTTTAATTAGCGTGTAACTTTTGCAAGTATAATTACAAGTATGAGGCGGGAGAAATTCCTTTAGATTTTTCACCGTAACGAGCCCCTCGATTTTTCGCAGTAATGCTAACACGAACATTGTTAACTGATGGTAACGCGAACGATTGTCCCCCTTTCTTTATCTTGCAAAAGTAAATGTAATCATCGTAGTCCCTCGTCCGCGGTTACGTGTGACGTTGTAATCGTCACGATAGAATTAAATATTTCATATCGTACACGGACGTTACGGTACAATCGACTTTAACTGCCGTTTCGAGGCCTCTTATCGCGACTCGTGCATCTCGGCGATTATCTATCTCGATGTGACGACCGTACACGTATGTGACATTTGGAGCTGCTTTGCGATTAAGGTATATTCTCACAATCGAATAGCAGTGTTTAGGGCAAAAATCTGCAATTTGTTCATTTTCATCTCATCGTTCAATTTAGCAAAAGACTACTGTTTTTGAAATCTTTGTTAAATGTCGATAAGTTCGAGAAATAAATCTCGGATTTTTATATCATAATTGGATTCATGGACATAATTCTTATAGAAATTTAATACTAGTATTTTTTTTTACTCTTAATAGTACTTTTAATAAGTGAATAAGTGATTAATTGATTAATACTAATATTAAATTTCCATAAAGGAATAATTCTCACTCTCTATTACTTTTATAAATCATAATTATATAAGTTTTTTATCCTCCTAAAAATTGAAACAGTTTAAGATATTTAAATTTATTTATAAAAGAATAAGAAATAATAGAGAATGTAAAAAGATTTGCAATTATGTATGGAATTGGCCGTGATAGAAATTATCCTTCCAGATTTTCTTTTATATCTTCTTTTATATCACCCTCCGTCATGTAAGGATTAATCATCGACCGATATTCTAATGGACTACGTCTATCAAAGCGCTGATAATAAAATTTTCATGCTGTTTGGGATTTCGAATAATTATGTTTTGTGTAGAAAGAGAGAGAGAAGTTTGCTCGCGAAGGGGAAAGAATTGAGCTCGAAAGGGGTCGCTGTCCATTGTGAAGTAATTCGTCGAGGTAAAAACGTTACGGAGGGTGACTTTTGTTCGACAGGCGCGATACCGAAAAATACTTTCTCGATCCCCCACGATATTATTTTTTAGTTTCTCAACCGATTTTAATTTTTATCTGAAAAATTTATGGGAAATAAATTTATGGAAAACCAAAAATCTTACAGAAGATAAATTTTGCTAAATTACTTAATGAAATAAATGTAGTGAATCAACAAATATTCTTTAATATGTATCTATAATAATTTTTTTTCCTCCTTGATTATATACATAAATTTACGGAAAGAAGAACGATTTTGCTAAAGTATTAAAAATTTTAGTAAAATACAGATTTGAAAATAATTTTATAAGACTTTCAAACATGATGATCAATATTGTCAAAAATTTTAATATTTTAGCAACTTGAGCATCCTATATAATTATTTGGATAGCCTGACAAAATTATTTTCAAATACTTTTGGCAAGTAAATTTTTAGATATTTCAGCAAAACTGTTCTTTTCATGTTGTCATTTAAAAATATTTTTTAGTTTGTTAAATGAGATAATTAAACTTCGCAAAAATTTCATTGTATCGATTGAATATACTGACTAATTATTAATAAAATAAATGTTATCGCACAATTATGCAACGAGAAAATTTTATTATGAAGCAGATGGCCTGCACGATATATATAGTATGAAGTTGATAGGCCTTTACATATCTTTGGGGTCGTTAGCACATATGTTCCTAGTGATATCCATGCAACCTCTGTGTATACACGAAGGGCTTGTGTTTAGTGGTAAATCTGTTCTCGTAAAAGATCAATTCGCCACGATGTATGAACGATCTTGAGCCCGTATGCTCGAGAATGGATTAAAAGTGATGAAACGCGAGGAGCTGCACGTCACGGGAAGGCTCGGAAGACTCCTCTTTATGTCCCCCTCCCCTGTTTGTAAAAAAAATAAGCTCGAGAAATGAACGTCATATTTAAAATAAAATAGTTGTGACTTTTTTTCTAGAATGCTTCTAAAAACCTGTGTTTGTGGAAACGAAGAAAAAAAAATTACCTTTACTTTAATTTTGCATAGTAAATACATATTTGTCCTAAAATTTTTTTCAATATAATATTTTTACATG